TTTTGCGATGAGATTTATGTGGAATGTAATCAAGGTGAAGTGCAACAATTTCAATTGCTGAACGTATTGTAGAGGAGAGGCGAGGATGCTGAACGAATTGGATTAGTGGTTACGGTGTGTAACGGCCAGAAATTTGATGTGATGAGCCGCGTGTCCAAGTTACGGCTCTTCATTGGCTTGATCGTTTTGTCTACATTGTACTATTTCATTTTCCATGGTAAATTTTTTGACAAGTTCTCAGAAATATGCGTCTGATCTGAATAAATTAAGATTCACACCGGTTCAGATTCTCCCATAAGATTGGGCTTTTGTTAGCCACGAAAATATGGAATTTGTATGAGCGATAGCAATAGCATCATTTATGCATTGAATACTTGTAGATGTGAACAGATCAGATGCAGCCACAAGGACCATTGAAATGCCAGTGTTGCTGCGAGAGCTTTGCCAGTTTGTTGAAGAGCCGATTAGGGGACAAGAAGGCGAAATTGCTAGTGAATTCGGTACGCTACGAGGNAGGTACGATAATTGTGGTCATTTTTGAATCCGTTCGTCCCAATTCAAGCAACTATTGTTTTTCTTTGGTTTTGTAATTTACTCACTTTTCGAGTTCCAGTTCTTCCTTCCACTCCATAAAATAGCAGATTAGAGTGGAAAAAGTAATCGAAATGATAATAATTTTAATTATCATTATTTAAGTTCAGTAATTAATTTCAAAGTTAATAATTAATTTTTGAAAGTTCTCAATTAATTTTCCAAAGAAATAATTTAATTTAAACAAAGTTCAATTCTTCAGGTCACCTTTACACGGTGATTTGGTGAGCGCAACTGAAGGCAAAAGTGCGAATGTTGGCCTGAGTGAGTGCACTCCGTATCGTGAAGTGGATCGTCGCTCGTTTGCCAAATATGTGCAGTTGTTGAAATCTGAACATTTTCGGAATTTCATCGCAATTCCCGCTGAAATGAACACCAAATTGCGTTGGTCACCGTCGTCGACTCGATGCACACCACGCGAAATGACCGCAGAAGGAGCGTTGCAGCATCTGAAGTTGGGCAATTTCTTGAGGAAACGTTACAGCAGATCTGGTTGGCTGCAACAAACAAGTACGAATTGAAGTCGTTTACTTTCTAGTTGATCTGTGAACTAAAAACTTTTAAGGAATTTACATTTGTCATTCAATTTTTATGATTTTTTGGGTGAAATTTAGTTTTCGAGTTCATGAGTTAGTTTCTTTTGTGTTGCGATTGAATGAAGAATCAAAATTTCTGTCCTGAAATAGTTAATACCTTGATAGAAAACAAGAATGCAATGAGAGTTTTGAGAAAATTCTTTGGAAGAGATTGTTGATTTATCAGGTTTCGGGAATAGTTTTGAGAGATTCAGATGTATTGTAGTGTTCATATGGGCTTGTTGTAGAGAGGAAATTGGATGTACAAGTGATCGCCACACCATACTCAAGAACATTCCAATCAGCCATCGCTTTTCTGACATCGTTTTTGTATCCACTGAATAAATATTTCGGCAAAATCGCTATAAACCTCTCAAAAATGACACATTTTTGTATGAACGATCAATGCAAATGCACTAATGTTATCAAATTACATCGACAATACGAAACGGTTTGTTCAGAATTCTTTTCACAAATTCATTTGCATACTTCACATTTCTGAATTGCCCTCGATACCGTTGGATTTCTAAATTTATTAAAACGTTATCAGAAATTGAAATGACAATAATTCCATAATGAATGAAGCAAAATAATGTAAGCACGAATAAACATTTGAGAAATGGTCTTCCCCTATTTTGATTGATCGATGTTCTCACAATGGCTTTCGAGTTCAATAACTTTCAGGAGCGAACACCATTCTTTGAATCGCATTTCGGCCCAAAAGCCCGTCGGATTTTCGAACTATTCAAATATGTTTACAATATATCGGACGTATCGGATCCGATTCATCTGATGGATATCGCATTAGGTCGTCATGTATGCAGACGTATGCCACTGCCGTGTCGTGGTGGAATCTGCATCACCTATGATGACGTTGTTAAGGTAGTAGTTATCCTTGTGATGATTTTTATAGTAATAGATTTTATATCAAACTTAATGAGAGCCATTAAATTTACTATAATATTACCACTATTTTTTTAAAATTCTAGTAACCAGTTATTTTAGTTGTAATATCGATAACAGTTTTAAGTGTTTGGCATCAGCAGTAAGTGGTAATAGCAGTAATCAGTAATGTTTTCAGTTAGCCAATCTAGTTTCTGACCGCGACAGAGCNTAATGTAAGCACGAATAAACATTTGAGAAATGGTCTTCTCCTATTTTGATTGATCGATGTTCTAACAATGGGTTTCGA